GACGTTAAGCAATGCAGATCAAATTTTGCGTGTCGAACGTGCAACAAACATCACCATACGCTAATTCATTTCGATAATCAATCTTATGTAGTTGCTACCGAGACATCTGATCCGCATGACAGCTCCGCTTCACTCCCTCCTACAGCGTACGATCCCGCTACCCTAGCGCGCAATCTAGTTCTGTTCCGTCGCTACGAACGAGTACAGTGCTACTGTCAACAGCGCTCATCGATGTTTACGTAAATAATCATAAGCGGTCGACCGTGCGTTGTCTCATAGATTCGGGAAGCCAGGTCTCCTTTATTAGTGAAGCATGCGTACAGCGTATGGGTTTAACAAGAAAACAGGCCAATATTTCTCCTGTTTACGGTATTAATGAAAACAAACTGGTCTATCCAAAAGGCCCAATTTCGTGCTATATTACACCAAAAAATAAAACTCAACCTTCGGTACAAATCAATGCCTTAATCTTACCGAAGCTTATTGCTACACAAATGCCTTCTTGTAAATTACCTTATAAGGAATGGTCACACATTAAAAATTTGACATTGGCTGATCTAGATTTCTTCACACCTCAACCAGTAGAAATGTTACTTGGAGCGGACATACTTCTCCAAATTCTATTACATAACACGGTGATCGGGCCGCCGGGTGCGCCCATAGCAATAAATAGTATTTTAGGATATTTGCTGTTAGGAAAGCTAGATTTTAATATTCAGTTCCCAGTTTCGTTCCCTGTTCACGTGTTACACAGCTCTGTTAACGATGAATTTGATCTCCAGCGGTTTTGAGAAATAGAATCAATTACAGAACAACAATTTACGAAAACACGCATACGCGTAATGATTCAGGAAGATATGTAGTCGCTCTGCCTTTCAAACCTGACGCCTTGCCCCTTGGTGAGTCGCGTGATATTGCTATCGCCAGATTTCGCAGATTAGAATATAAGCTTGAGCGCAATCCACCACTGAAGTATAGCTATCATGCATGCCTACAGGAGTACTTGGATCTAAATCACATGGAACCTTGTGATGGCCCTTCACCAAAATCTGGTGGCACGTATTATATTCCGCACCACTGCGTGGTGAAGGAATCTAGCGAGACAACAAAGATGCGAGTGGTCTACGATGCAGGTTGTAAGACTACCAACGGGAGCTCCCTGAACGAAGTTTTATTTACAGGACCCAAACTTCATCTGGATATAATCGACGTTCTATTGAAGTTTCGAATTCATTCTATTGCTTTCACAGCTGACATTAAACAGATGTACCGCAACATTTTAGTCCGTGATACAGATAGGGATTTTCAGCGTATCGTATGGCGTACTTCTCCCGACGAACCTATACGCGACTATCGTCTTCGTACTGTAACTTTCGGAGTTAGTTCCTCGCCTTACCTCGCACTTCGTACAATGCGACAGCTTACGCTATATGAAACCCCGCGCTTTCCACGTGCTTCTCATGTCATATAAAATGACATATTCGTGGATGACATAGCGTCAGGTGATAATACGGAGGCAGAAGCTCTTGCTCTAAAACAGGAGTTAAATAAACATATGTCAGGCTGCAGGCTTCATTCACTCTTCACAAGTGGCACAGTAACTCGCCTGCATTACTCGCTGCGGTTCAGCCCACAAGTTCTCATGGTGAGCGGCACCATAACGTACCTTTTGCGGAGATGGAAAATGATATGAAAACTAAAGTACTTGGTCTACAGTGGAATCCCCATTCAGATTCATTTACTTTCAGTGTTCAAATTGCCTCTAACAAATGTACTAAGCGCTCGATTCTATCAGAAATTGCTAGAATTTATGACCCAATTGGCCTTGTATCGCCAGTCACCGTTTTTGCTAAACATTTAATCCAGTTGTTATGGATAGCACGTGTAGGTTGGGATAAACATCCACCCCAAGATATAATAAATTCATGGGCCAATTTTACTAATGAGCTCCCACTCTTATCAAAAGTGATTTTTTCCGCGTCATGTATTTACCCATACTCATTCTGTACAGCTTCACGGCTTCTCAGATGTATCTGAGAAAGCGTATGCCGCATGCGTCTATCTTCGCGTGCAGGGAGACATGGGTGCAGTGGATACTTACCTTCTTCTAGCTAAAACACGTGTGGCGCCTACTAAACGTATGTCCATACCACGTCTAGAACTCATGGCGGCTCTATTATTATCTCGATTAATGAAAGCTGCTTTAAACATTTATGGGAATCGCATACCTCGCGATCAGATATACGCGTGGTCGGATTCATCTGTGGTACTAGCGTGGTTGCGTTGTTCTCCACACGAGTGGAAAACCTTTGTTTCCAATCGCATAACAGAAATTATAAGTAATATTCCGTATTGTCGATGGCAGCATGTTCCATCTGCAGATAGTCCGGCAGACGCAGTTTCATGTGGAATGCTTCCCGCCAATTTTTTAAATCACATCATATGGTTCCGCGGTCCTCACTTTTTATAAGAGGACGAGACTACTTGGTCTATTTCTGAAGTTACGCGGGCACAAGAAGAAAAACGGAACATTGCAATTGTTTCCAATCCGTGTACTTCTTCTTCCACTAACGGAGACGTAGAAATTATATCACGTTATTCATCCCTGGGTAAACTGGTTCGTATCACTGCTACGTTATTCCGTTTCTATAATAAATGTAAGAAGGTGCAATCTCCTCTTTCTAAGCACATTTCCGTAACCGAGTTCAATTTTACTTTAAATCGACTTATATTTCTTGTTCAACATTCTGTATTTCGTGACGACATTTATAAACTTTCTAAGGGAAAAATTCCATCAAATCAAATAAGACGTTTAAATCCCTTTATTGACTCAAACAATTTTCTTCGCGTAGGTGGGAGGATACATAAGTCCCTTTTACCATATGATTCAAAACATCAATTAATTTTACCTAAAAAACACACGTTTACACTCATGAATCTCACTTAAATGCTGGTGCGCAGAGTACCCAATACATACTTCTACAAAAATATTGGATCTTATCCGGTCGTGACGTCATACGGAAATGTATTCATCGCTGCGTCCGTTGTTTCCGAGCACGTCCCGTGCGTCCGCAACCCAGCATGGGTCCATTGCCTGCCGCACGCTTGCGACCTGAACGTCCCTTTCATAAAACTGCCGTAGATTTCGCTGGTCCTTTCTACATCAGAGCTAACAAAGTAAAAAATGCAAAAATAGTAAAATGTTACGTGTGTGCATTTGTATGCATGTGCGTCAAGGCCATACACCTCGAAGTAGTTTCGGAATTTACAACAGAGGATTTCTTAGCGGCATTACGACGCTTCACATCACGCCGAGGTCTATGTAAGGATATTTACTCCGACTGTGGTAAGAATTTTATCGGCTGTGACAGATATCTAAAGGACTTGTATGCCTTCCTTCGGAATGACACTGTAGAAGGCGCGCTCTAGAACAAGACTCTGGAGGAAGGAATAATATGGCATTTTCAGCCACCGTATGCAAGTCATTTTGGTGGACTTTTTAAAGCGGGCGTCAAAAGTTTTAAACACCATTTTTATCGGGTAGTAGGTCCTCGTATTCTAACCTATGACGAGATGCACACCCTATTGTGGCAAATAGAGGCAGTGCTAAACTCGCGTCCGCTTTGCGTATTGAGCTCCGATGCGCAAGATCCCATCCCTTTAACTCCGTCTCACTTTTTGATAGGTGAACCGCTAACAGCAATCCCCGAAATTTCGCTTGTGGATGAAAATCAAAGTAGATTAGTCAGGTGGCGTTTAATACAACAATCGGTTCAACATTTCTGGAAAAAATGGAGCTTAGAGTATTTGCATGAAGTTCAGCAACGTGGCAAATGGTTTACTAACCGTGGAGATATGGTCCGTGAAGGCATGATTGTGATGGTATGCGATGATAGCCTTCCACCTTTATAATGGCGGCTTGCACGTGTACACTGGCTACATCCAGGCTCTGATGGGATCCCGCGTGTTGTAACTCTCCACATTGGGAAAACATATTTGAAGCGACCAGTTAACAAAATTTGTCCACTTCCAATAGAGTAATAAAAATGTAAATAATAATTAAGATTTCGTATTATACTTTCTTTAGAAATAGCTTTAAACATTTATCATTAATCTTAAGATATAGTTTTTAATAAGTACTTTCGCGTACTACTTTCAATTTTGATTATACATTTTCATTTTATGTCGAGGTACTAGTTTGTATTGAAGATTCGTTTAAATTTAATTAAAAGATACTGCGTACTTTTAAGGTGAGCGGCATTACATACATGATATTATATTATTATTTATATTTTTTCATTAAGTTTTAATTATAATTCTTACAATTAAAAATAGTGCAATTTGAAAGGAAAGCATTTCGTTTTATTTAAAATGTTTCAAATAAATATTTTTTCTTACTGGCAAGCACTCTTTTACTTGAAGCGAGCAACCCTTTTTGAACCACACCCACAACGAACACTAGTAACGGCCTACTTCTTCGTGAACACAAGCATTAACGCTTTTGACGGTACACATTACGTACGCGCTCCGTTACTCGCAGCAGAAAAGATCTCATTTCCCTGCTTCATCGAATATTAAGGCAGTTTTCTGTACCTGATCTGTGGAAAAAGAAAAAATAGTGGACACATATGACCAGAATCCACATCACACCGGGCTCGATAATCGCCGAGTAGGTCAAAGGTTACCCAGGTGAGTGTTTTCCAGGTCTTATGTATACATAACACATACAAATGCGATATTACTTATAGTTACCGCGAAATCTTCCACGGAATGTGAGTATTTTTTATAATTTATCAATTTATTTTGCCCAAGGCTTAGATTTCTCAAAAATTTCCCCTTTTTCCCACCAAGATCTGTATGATTAAAGTAAAGAATAGAATAAGCTTTGTAAAAAGAGGTTCTTAAATTTACGCAAACGAGGTATAATTTAATTATGAACACCCATATTACATGTTGCTATGCAATTTTGAAAATGTTTCATCATCAGCTACTCTCGTCGATTATATTATTCGAAGCGCCACGCCGTGCGCCGCGCCGTGCGCCGCGCCGTGCGCCGCGCCGTGCGCCGCGCCGTGCGCCGCGCCGTGCGCCGCGCCGTGCGCCGCGCCGTGCATCGCCTTGTTCATATTGCGTGGCAGCGTGCTGGGCGGCTGAGGGCTAGAAGCCTGTGGTAGACAATTTGTGTGACAACCGACTTGCGATGTACTACTATGTGCTAAAATTTTAGAGGCCAGAGTTGCGAACACATAGTCGACATAGATATCATAGAAGATTAATTCTCATTTTTAGGATTTCGTAGTCAAACAACAAGGAACCCTTACAGTCTCGCCATGTCCGTCCGTCCCTCCGCGACTTTACTCAGAGACCTTAGGTGCTACAACGTAAGTGACATATTTATAGACGTTAATCTCAACTACAGAACTGTCAAACAAAATCTTAAAAAATAGTTTTCTTTTAGGTACCTCCTATACAGGTAAAAAAGGGGATGAATTTTTTTTAACCCACCTATACCATCGTGTGGATTTCGTTGGATAGGTATTTCAAGAAAATTGGGGGTAAAGAGCAATTTTTTTCAATTATGGGGTCTGTTGCGTAATATTTAGCTTTAGTGGTATTTTTCATTAGAGTGTGTATCACCACCCCTCCTCTACCTACTAAACCACTATTTTTGTAAATGTGAAAAGTATACACAATAGTAGTATATATAATGAAGTTAAAAGTAAAACTATCATAGCTAGGTAGAATTAAGTTAGCGAGTATCAGTTGACCAACTTACAAATTAGGTACACTTAAAAATTTCGTTACAATTTCATATAACATGACTTAAACTAGCTGCATTATAACTTTGTAATGTTATTGTAAGCTGGAAGAAATAAACATTTAATGAAGATATCGACTTGTATGTATTAATTCTATAGCTTTACTTTGCGGGTTAGGAAGGGAGAATCTCTCTTACTTACTACATTGGCTTATTTTTTTGTTGGTAGTTTTTTTTAACGTTACCCCACACCAGGATTTTCTCCTGTATCGTGGAGGCAGTTCACAAACATAAATTGCACAAGGACAGACATCTAGACCTGGAACAATTATTTTTGTTCCGTGCAGGATTCAAACCCGCGGCTCCCTCATTGCTAAGCCACTGCGCCACGGAGCCGTAATAATAAAATCAGCATCAGTTACCGATTGTTTTACCGGTAGGATCATTTCTGTCATACAATATATCTTATGGTTGTACTGCGGGGAATATATTTTATAGATAAGATCAACTATGAACATCTTTGTACGGACTTTGCTTGTGAATGATTTGATGTGGGTTATATTATTTTCAAAAAACGAAATGTATTTTTTAAATATATATATATGTGTGTGTATAAACCACGTTGAACCCACCAAACTCACCTCGTATTAGTTCTTTTTAGGGGTACATTTCTAGAGCCATTTATATCGCGTAACCAGTATAAATACTTAGTACATAACTATATTAGTCCCACGGAACTTATTTTATTTGAACTGTCAGGCAAAATAACTCCATTACTGCTTAAAAGTGTTAGTTTCAAAAGTAAAAATTCAAAGGTTCGGTTTGTGTAATGACTCGGCATCAGACGACTGCTCGGATTATTAGACATAGTATCTCTTGTGTCGCTCTCCTGTCATTCAATATTTCGACATGGACGTATACAATATACGCCAAACATATGCACCTGAAAATGTAATTTTACATTTATGGTTGTTATCTTAGATATTTTTGCATTGACTGCTAAGCACTTTTAATAAATTCCTATCAGGCGTAAAGATTTTTCTGATGATTATACTCAACATGCTTCGCAGGTGAGTGTGACCATCATTTGCAGAAGAACGTAGAACCTCTCCCAGTAGAAACGCTGCAACTTTTTGTTTGGGTTGGTTAACCAATGACTTAACTGTAAGTGAGTTAATTCCTAGCTAAGCTACCTGATCACAGTGGTCCTATTGATATTTAAATTATGCCCGAAGAGAAACGAGGTTCCTGGAAGACAGGAAATTAATTTTATGTTGTCTGATTTATTGTCCAAATGTGACCTTAATTCTGTTTCGCACATCCAACAATGTATATTTTAAATATTTTGCACTCCGAAATATGTACTATAAGTTATCATACACGTAGCAGGTCATCATCTTCATTAGTACAGTCACATCAAAAGACCACTACTGAACATAGGCTACCCAATTCATAGCCCCATAGGGGGAATTTTTACCATAGTTGCATTGCTTAACGGGCTAGTTAGAAACCGCAGTTTTATTAAAATAATTTGAGTTTTCCTTAGGGAAATTCTGCATTCAGCTCCTTTTTTATTTCCATATTAACTTAACCGTACGAAGCTTTTTTAATGATAATATTATCACGTTGGGGAATCGACTCCTCTCTTGCAGAAGTGGATTCACTTACCCTGCCACTTCATGGCATCATACGGTTCCTCGATAGTATGGTTGTAAGTATCCGCACCTGTCACGTTGCACTTATTGCAATTAATTAAAATTTACTCTGAAATGAATTACGCGTTCAGGTTTTGCAAAACCTATATTACCTTATAGAAAACATGAAAGTGCTTGTAAAGATGTAAAAGAAATCATAGAAAAAGCTGAATTTCCCTTCATATCGTTCCTCCGACATCATTATTTGCATTTGATAGTTTGTCAATGTTAATAATATTAGCGATATTAACTAATACTTTCCAAAAATACATTCCGATAACAAAAAAAGGGATCAATAAACTGAGGTAGCAATAAGCTCATCCTATAGCTCGACAATTTCGGCAACCTGTGCCGAAAGTATTTCGTGCAGCAGCCTCAAACCGTAACCGCTAGTGCGAGTTTGGTAACTACAGTTGTCAATGACGGACGGCCTCAAATTGAGTTTGGTTACACAGCTGACCAAACCAAACTCATCTACCTACATATATTAAAAAAAGACGTGTGGCACTCGGGGACTGCCGCGGTAAAGCTATTGCATAGCATTTTGTATCAACTTATGCAATTATAATTATTTATTTATTTTATTTATGCAGTATTTCTTTTTCTTTGATATTAATTTAAGTTACACTTTATGAGCGTGGTGACCGATAAGAAAACAATTTTTTTTCTTTTATTAAATAAATAAATAATAAATGCACTTTGTTCATTCATATTCAAAACTCTTTATACACAAATTTTACAAGCACAGCTATTCACTGTTGTACATAAATACCTATACACCTATATACTTTCTCATAAACAGATGCTTATGTATTCGTCCGATTTCGGAGCAGCTCGTCTCGATTCGTGCGAGCTTCGTAGAGTCGTACAATACGTCTAGTTGCACGCACACAAACACCGTGTCGAAGACTGCCGAAAAGAAACGACGTTAGACAATGCACGGCCTTCAAGCCACACCTCCGTGCCCGTCGGAGTGGGGAGCGTAAGGTTTTTTCGTTACGGAATTTCTGGATTCGGTCCCCGCGCTCAAGGCCCGCGGTAGAAGCTATGCAATAGCTTAAAAATTAATATAAAAACAAAGCATATAAAAACTCCACGGACATTCTCCTTCTTTCTAACCTCCATGGTTGCTACTTAAGTGAGATATGCGAAAATATGCCGTTTTGTGGATTATCTTGATATATATAAATTACGTGTCACGTTGTTTGTCCGCGATAGGCTCCTAAACTACTTAACCGATTTTAATGAAATTTGCACACCGTGTGAAGTTTGGTCCAACTTGAGAGATAGGATAGTTTTTTTTGCCCATGAGTAACCCACAATTTATTTTTTGCGAATTTAAGGATTCTTAATAGGACATGACAGGGTCGTAGAAAGGGCAGAACAACGTCTGCCTGGCAGGCTAGTCTTATATATTACCTCGATATAGTAATCTTTATTTCAAAACTATCAATACTGTTCTTTTTAAGATATTCAAAAGTAAATACTTTCCTATGACAGCCAAGAAAAAAGTGTTTAAATCGTGTATCTTGCCATGTCTCATGAAAGAAAGAAGTATGTTGGGCGATACGCTTAAGGACCGAAAAAAAGAGCAGAAGATATCATATCTACAGTAAGGAAACAAGATAGTTCAAATGGCAATGGACACATAAAAAGGGAAAACAATATAAAATGGACTCAAATCATAAGGGAATAGCACCCTAAAAGGCGAACAGATAATATCAAGATTATTGGAGGGACAATCTGGTTAAAAAAGCTAACAATAGACAAGATTTGAAAGAGCTAGAAGAGGCCTGTGTGTCACAGGACATGCTGACCACTAAAATGTGCTAGATTATAAATTGAAAAATTAGCTACTATGTTAAAAAATATAACGCTTAGTATCAGCAATGAAGGCTTAATAATATTCACACAATGGCAAGGGAAAATAATATGTTATTACGACTTCTCAGCCTTCAATAAATAGTAGTATGTCAGCTTTACTATCCACGCTATCTTTATTTACGCGAGATGTTCAATATTCAGATCAGCGATTAGAAACAGTGCCAAATTAGCGAGACATCCGGCACTACGATCGTCAATCGGTCGACCAAGCGTGATGATCAGGACAAATCTTTTTACAACGGGAGAGACCCTGTCCATACTGGGCTTTTAGAAGCATATTACATTGTATAGTAATGAGCACGCTTATTTACAGTTATAAAAATTTATAGAAAATAATCATTCAACATTTTTCAAGGATGAAAACCTATATCTAGCCATTTACCGGTGACTTTGAATTGACTGTTAACTATTTTTTCACTAAGTTTTAGTAGTAGTAGCTCGCCTCGCTTCAAACGCAAAAATTGAAACGTAAATACAATTACTGCTATTTTGTATAACTGCTTACATTGTAGAATTCTTTTCAAAAGGAACATCTTTGAATCAAAATAATTGTTCCTTAATGCTTAATGCATCTGCATGTTTTGATAAATAAACAACAGTTATAAAAACTTCAAATACAGAAGAATTTACTCATTTCCCACTTAGGACACTCACATAAGCGCAGAGTAAATTAATACATATATCGGTTGTAGCCCTGAAAGAGGCAGTAACGCTGTTGTTTCGGCAACTTTGGCATTTCAGGCCACTGAAGGAATCCGTAAAGAAAGATGAACCTACCTTCTACAATGGTTTCGATATAAAAAAAATATGTCGATTGTGTTCGGGCGTA